TCAAACAAAATGCCTCGCCTCAAACGGGAAGTTGTTCTTCCTGACGCAGGGGCTCGAAACACGACAGAAAAACAGTCTTTTGGAGGTCCTGGAAACAAAATGTTGATCCGAATCAGAATCTGGGTTTGGTAAAAAAACAATGCTGGGGTAGAAAAACAATCCAATGGATCAAAACCTCATCGTTTTCCTTTTACTAGTCTCTGATAACATGGGAGTAGTGAAAGGTAGATCCAAAATCATTATTGCTCATGTCATCTGCCATGCGCAAAATGTGTACAACTATTTAGAAAATGTTGTGTGTCATCAAGTGTGCAACGCGCGCCCTCCCCGAAAGTTGAGCACATGATATATAAGATCTCCCCAAGAGTGTCAAGGTTTTGTGTCAATCCGAACGAATCCACCGCCATTTCAGTTCCAGGTTTAACCATTGAGTTGAAGGCTCATGTCATGTGCGGTATATGCGGTATGCATGTAAAAATGTAGGAAAAAACATGGCATTGGAATTAAATCAAACATGTTCAAAGGAAGTTTAGGGGGAGAAATTTCCGCGCTACGGACTTTTAGAATGTCAGGGAAAGAGTTAGTCAAAGAAAGAGTTAGCAAAGAAAGAGTTCGTCAGGGAAAGAGTTAGTCAAAGAAAGAGTTAGTGAGGGAAAGAGTTAGTCAAAGAAAGAGTTAGTCAAAGAAAGAGTTAGCAAAGAAACAGTTCGTCAGGGAAAGAGTTAGTCAAAGAAAGAGTTAGTGAGGGAAAGAGTTAGTCAAAGAAAGAGTTAGCAAAGAAACAGTTAGTCAGGAAGGAGTAAAAAGAGAGTTAGTGAGGGAAAGAGTTAAGTCCCAAAGATTAGTGAGGTAAGTTTCGTCAAAGAAAGAGTTAGTGAGGAAAGAGTTAGTCAAAGAAAGAGTTAGCAAAGAAACAGTTAGTCAGGGAAAGAGTTAGTCAAAGGGAAAGAGTTAGTCAAAGAAAGAGTTAGCAAAGAAACAGTTAGTCAGGGAAAGAGTTCGTCAAAGAAAGAGTTAGTGAGGGAAAGGGTTAGTCAAGAAAGAGTTCAAAGAAAGAGTTGAGGGAAAGAGTTAGTCAAAGAAAGAGTTAGTCAAAGAAACAGTTAGTCAGGGAAAGAGTTAGTCAAAGAAAGAGTTAGTGAGGGAAAGAGTTAGTCACAGAAAGAGTTAGTCAAAGAAAGAGTTAGTGAGGGAAAGAGTTAGTCAAAGAAAGAGTTAGTGAGGGAAAGAGTTAGTCAAAGAAAGAGTTAGCAAAGAAACAGTTAGTCAGGGAAAGAGTTAGTCAAAGAAAGAGTTAGTGAGGGAAAGAGTTAGTCACAGAAAGAGTTAGCAAAGAAAGAGTTCGTCAGGGAAAGAGTTAGTCAAAGAAAGAGTTAGTCAAAGAAACAGTTAGTCAAGTTAGTCAAAGAGTTAGTCAGGGAAAGAGTTAGTCAAAGAAAGAGTCAGTGAGGGAAAGAGTTAGTCAAAGAAAGAGTTAGTTAGTCAGGGAAAGAGTTAGTCAAAGAAAGAGTTAGTGAGGGAAAGAGTTAGTCAAAGAAAGAGTTAGTCAGGATATATGAGGTAGTCAAAGAAAGAGTTTGCAAAGAAACAAGTTAGTCAAAGAAAGAGTTAGTGAGGAAAAGAGTTAGTCACAGAAAGAGTTAGCAAAGAAATTGTTCCCTCACTGTAAATGGGATTGCAAGTGGTGCTGGTGGAGGAGTTGCCGATGGAGTTTTGAAGGAAGTCTCGCACGAAATGCGTTTTTGAGAGATAGCAGATGCACGAAACCCTATGTTTTTCCAGACAAAGTCCGTCCCCGAACGTCGATGATCTACCTCTGCGGTGCGACGGGTGCGAGACGGTCTCGTGTGTGGTCGGATCATGCTCGGATCGGATCTCGGATCGGTTCCGCATTGTAAATGGGGTTTCAACTGTGTTTCGTGCATGTGCGGTCGACAGAATTCCATTGTGATTTGCAACTGTAGGATCGTTCCCGCATTGTAAATGGGATTGCAAGTGGTGCTGGTGGATGAGTTGCCGATGGAATTCCATTGTGATTTGCAACTTAGGATCGCAAATGGGATTGCAAGTGGTGCTGGTGGAGGAGTTGCCGATGGAGTTTTGAAGGAAGTCTCGCACGAAATGCGTTTTTGAGAGATAGCAGATGCACGAAACCCTATGTTTTTCCGGACAAAGTGCGTCCCCGAACCTCGATGATCTACCTCTGCGGTGCGACGGTTGCGAGACGGTCTCGTGTGTGGTCGGTCGGATCATGCTCGGATCATTCTCGGATCGGTTCCGCATTGTAAATGGGGTGTCACCTGTGTTTCGTGCATTTGTGGTCGACAGAATTCCATTGTGATTTGCAACTGTAGGATCGTTCCCGCAATGTAAATGGGATTGCAAGTGGTGCTGGTGGATGAGTTGCCGATGGAATTCCATTGTGATTTGCAACTCTAGGATCGTTCCCTCACTGTAAATGGGATTGCAAGTGGTGCTGGTGGAGGAGTTGCCGATGGAGTTTTGAAGGAAGTCTCGCACGAAATGCGTTTTTGAGAGATAGCAGATGACGAGCTGAGGACGAGCTGAGGACGTAATACCATTGTGTTCTGCTAGGGATTGTTGCTAATCGCATGTGCTGTGGCTGCATTTGTCATACTATTGTCTTTTGCAGCTGGACTTCGTAAATCGTATTGGAGTGGCTGCATGAAGGCTGCCACAGTGATTTGTCAGCAGATTTTCTCCATTTTGGCGTCAGCGATTTTCCTTCTAAAAATCCCTTTAAAAAGTGCTTCAAAATCGTCTTGCACAACAACAGTACGTGGTTGGACGACAAAGAGTCGGACGACGAAGTTCTCCGCAGACAATACCTTCATCTCTGGGAAGCTGTGCGGTCCTTTGAACCAGAGTTTGTTGATGCTGAGATGAAGCGCAGACAAGGTCTTGCCGCAGAGGGGTCAACTCTTGTTTCACTGCCGAGGGCTGGGTGTGCGTTGTTATGAACCGCATCCGGGTCTGAATTGCTGTGCTTCAGTAGCTTCGCCTTTCATTTGACCTTGCGAACCGCAGAATGCCTCTGTCACTTGGTTTTGGTTTCTGTGTGCGTTGTTACGAACCGCACAAAAAACCATGATCGTATTGCATACATGTGAAAAAAACATGCTGTCGTGGGAGCGGGTAAATGCAAGGTCTCACTAAGATCCGCTCAATGCTTTATGCAGCATGGGTTGGATTTTTGTGGTTTGTTGAAAGTATGATTTTCTGAACCATTTCCTTTTTCAGGCATCAGACCTCAAGCTGGGTGAGATGGTATGTTTGGTGTTTATTTGACCCCTGTTGGGATGAGATGGTTGGTTGGGGATCTACAATTTGGATGAGCAAGTGGGTTTCGTATTTCTTGGACCCCAGTTCGGACGAGTTGGTATGTGTAATTGTTTCGTTACTTCAACTATAGTTAATTTCGATCTGTTATATTAACGTTATGATGTTGTCGGGTAGTGCGAAAACAAAGAGATCTGTTATTCTAACTGCTAAAACAGCCGCCGGTTTCAAATGCTTGTGTTTTGCTGGGGATTGTTGCTAATAGCATTGCAATGGCTGCGTGAACTTGCTGCAGCTGGATTCTTTCAGATTTTGGCTGCTTTCATTTTCTATTTAAATTCTTTATTAAAAACGCTTCAAAAATAAAGTTTTTCTGCTCTGGCGTCGAGATCCGGTTTTGAAGCTACAATTTCCGACGCCGTTGCGCGTAGTTCTATTGTGTTTTGCAACTCAGTCTTTGCAGATCGCATTGTAGTCGCTGCGTCAAGGTTGCTTCCTGCTTTGGCTGTATGCGTAATACTATTGTCTTTTGCAGCTGGACTTCGTAAATCGTTTTGGAGTGGCTGCATGAAGGCTGCGAAATGGATTTGTTAGCAGGTTTTCTCCATTTTGGCGCTAGTGATTTTCCTTCTAAAAATCCTTTTAAAAAGTGCTTCAAAATCGTCTTTTTTTAGCTCTGGCGTCGAGATCCGGTTTTGGAGCTACAATTTCCGACGCCGTTGCGCTTAGTTCTATTGTGTTTTGCAACTCAATCTCCGCAGATCGCATTGTAATGGCTGCGTCAAGGTTGCTTCATGCTGTGGCTGCATGCGTAATACTATTGTCTTTTGCAGCTGGACTTCGTAAATCGTATTGGAGTGGCTACATGAAGGCTGCCACAGTGATTTGTCAGCAGATTTCTCCATTTTGGCGCTAGTGATTTTCCTTCTAAAAATCATTTTAAAAAGTTCAGGACCCATAAAACGGGGTTTGAGTCAATGGGGTATGGCCCAATATGGTTTGCTTTTACAAAATTGCAGAAAAAGACAAGAAAAGACAGAAAAAGACAGAAAAAGACAGAAAGAGCCAGAAAGAGACAGAAAAAGACAAAAAGAGACAAAAACAGACAGAAAGAGTTCGATCCAGCACATGTCAAGTCATGTCAGGTCATGCTGCAACATGCCGGCCAATGGTCGTTCAACTGTGGTCAATGGCATCATTCTTTTCAAGGCAGTGGCATGGCACAGAAGCCATGCATTCAATAGCATTACGAGGTTCAAATCACGTGCCTCCCAAAGTGAAGGATGTTAAATTGAAATATGACATGTGTCATTTGATGTACCTGAAGCACAAGCAAATCAAATAAATAAGGCAATGTGATTATGATAAGGCTCAGCTACCCCCCGGCGACATGTGACATGTCATGTTGCGCTGACTGACTGAATCTGATCATCAAATGATGGCAAGTGAAAAGAGAATCCGGGCACAATCCTGCAAGAATCATACCTGAGCAGAGCCATTGAGTAATGTAACGCGGTGCTGGGCCACTGACACATGATGAATGAGCTACTGAAAATTGAACCTACTGAAAATTGAACACAGCGAAAGCTCAGACTTAGTTTCCTGGACGGCCGCAGAGTGCAGTGCAGGTTCATCGCTCATGGATCTCGAATTATGAATTTTTATACTTGCCACTTTTCAAGTGACAGTTTTCCAGCCATTCAGAGTTGGGCCTGGACAATTTTTGCCAAGGCTTCAGAGAATGCAAAAGTGTACATCTCTGATTCAACCAGCAGCTCCTTCTTGCCAGTGAACCCATTAGCGTCACCGTCTTTGGTGGCCAGCGTCTCTGCCATCACAGGGCGGTCACGCATCATCCCCGTCAGATCCAGCGAGGAGGTCGGAACGAGCGGCTTCTGAGTTCTTCCTCCAAATGCGCCCAAATATGTATGGGTTTTCGCCAGCTTGAAGAAAGAGATGATGTGGGACATCCAAGCCGTTTGCAACATGCAGCTTGAGGTAGGTTGCTCCAGCCCCACCTGGTGGCCTAGTGCCAAGGCAATGGCCATGATCATCGAATGAACGATCAGCAAACTGTTGCCTGTCATCACAAAGGTTTTTGAGGTATCACCCAAAAAACCATTGGCAACACCCCGAAGAGCTTGAGCTGCACACAGGGTTACGAATGAACTGCATTCAGGAGCAAACCACAAGAATGAGCAGGCTTCGCAGCACATGAGACAAAGAAGCCACAGCCGCAACCCTTCGGACGAGAGCACATCGTGTAAGTTGTGGTACTTCTTGTCCAGGGAAGCAACTTTGAATCTTCTCCGAATAAACGAGCGGCTCAGATTTCCAAAGCCAGCGCTGTATTCCACCATGCTCCGAAGCTGAGATGACCCTGACTCCATGTTGGCAATAGCGTGCTCACAGAGAATTGAAAGCTGAACCATGACAGGCATGCCAAAAAGGTCTTTGAATCCCATGCCCAACAACTTTGGCCAAATTGTGGCAGCGCATCCGCCCATGTACTTGTCATAGTCTAAGTAAGCTTTCAACGTGCCCAGCACTTTCCGAAGGCGATCTGTTGACGCACACCTGGAGGCAGCCAACAGAAGGTTCTGGCATGTTTAATGCCAAAGGAATATATGTATATATATTTATATATTTATTCATTATTTATACATATATATAATATATATTTAAAATTTTGAAGAACCAAACAATTCCCCAAGCCTCCTGAAGTCTGCAAGGGAACCAAAGAACGACAAGCTCACGCTGGAAGAAAGCCGAAAAGCATTCTCCACTTCGATCTCTACCCTATCGGCTTCAGCATTGGGTACAAATGACACCTGCGGCTGAATAGAACCAGAAGTTTGCTGGTCAGCAGTGGCCGCAGTAGTGGCGATTGGAGGCACCTTCTGCTTGATCTCCTTTTTCTTCTTCTTCTGGATAGTTGCCATAGGCATTGCCCCCCGGCAACCCATCATAGTTGACATAAGGGTCAGCCACGGCAGCATTGACGACTTCCACATGGCGAAGAGCAGGCAGAAGGCTTCGCTGGAAAATGCAAAAAGCTTGTGATCTGCATCGCGCAAAAAAAAAACATTGTCAGTTGATCACATGGTCAAATGTCACATTGAATCCAAGCGGAAATGTCAACATGATGAATGATGCACCTGACGCTACAAAGTCCGTCAGCCACCCAGCACGCAGGGAGTGTTTAATCAATTTTGACCTCGCAGCTTATTTGCTGTAGTCTTTGGGATTTGGTAGTTGGGCTACAATTGGCGCCAGCATATCTAAGACATCCGAAGGCACCTCGCTTTGCCATGGTTTGTCTGGGGGGCTTTCATCTCGCCTCAAATTACACTTCTTCCACATGTACTTGTGACACGTGGACAGGCTAGATTTCCAGGTCTCCTTTGTGAAGACACGTGAAAAATGTTTTTTGTCATAAGGGTGCACAAATTTGGGAGACGTCACTTGGCATTCGACCTTCCAGCGATATTGGTTCTGGTCCACGTAGAGGCGAAAATCAGAGTTTGGCACAAGTCGCTGCAAGATTTCAACTGGAGAAAAATTCAGACGTTCAAAAGCACTGCCAGCACGTCGCGGGGCAGCAGCGACCTCAGGGGCTGGTGGTGGTGCTGCTGCTGGTGCTGCCGCTGCTGCTGCTGGCGGTCTGGGGGCTTGTGCAGGTTCAGCTGCCTCAGCCTGCGCGTCTTCCATCGCCTCGTCCATGCCTGCACCCTCGACGGCAGCCTCTGCAGCCAAAGCAACATGATCACGGTGTTCCACGCCAGGCAGCTCAGCAGGTGGGAGAATTTCACCACCGCCACCAACAACATCCAGACGAGAATCTGGCAGCTCTGGCTGCAGGTCATCAGCTGGGTGTGGGTCATCAGCAGCAGCGCCATCACCAGGGCCATCACTACCACCATCGCTTGGGCCACCTTGATCCTCGTCATCCTCTGATTCCTCGTTGTCCTCGGGCTGCTTTCTTTTGCGGCTTCTGACTTTGGCCTTTCCTTTGGGCTTTGACTTGGCAACTTTCTTGGCCAACTTCTTCGCTTCTGCCTTTTTTTCTTTGCCTGCCAAGAATAGCATTGTTCAGAATTGAAGAATGATCGCTGTGTGCTAGTGGTGGAAAAAAATTACCAGTAGTACCGCACAAAGCGGTGGCGGGAGTTTCAAAAAGAGGAAGCCTATAGGAGAGATTGGTTGTTGTGAATCAGGGATGGCAGAGCGAAGCCACTGATGGACTGAAACGTGATTGATCTCTCTCACTCTTTCTCTCTCTTCTCTGACTATCTACCTTCCTACCTAATCTATCTGTCTACCTATGTATCTATATATCTCTCTGTCTCTCTCTCTCTCTTTCATCTAATTACCTATCTATCTATCTATCTATCTATCTGTCTGTCTGTCTGTCTGTCTGTCTATCTGTCTCATGTCTATCTGTCTATCTATTTATCTGTCTATCTGTCTATCTATCTATTTATCTATCTATCTATCTATCTAACTGTCTATCTGTGGCGCAGTGTCATTGAGTCTCGTGTAGTGTTAGTGTAGTGGAGTCTAGTGTAGTGTAGTGGAATTAGTGTAGTGAACAGTGAAGTGTAGTGTGGCGTTAGTAGTGTAGATGTCGTATTGTAGTTGTAGTTGCTGTTGTTGTTGTTGTAGTTGTAGTTGTAATTAGTGTAGTGTAGTGTAGTGGAATGTTGTGTAGGGTAGCGTAGTGGAATGTAGTGTAGTGTAGTGTAGTGCAGTGTAGCGTAGTGGAGCGTAGTGGAATGTAATGTAGTGTAGTGCAATGTAGTGTAGTCTATGTAGTGTAATTTAGTGTAGCGGGGTGTAGTGGAGTGTAGTTGTGTAGTTGTAGTTGTAGTAGAGTGTAGTGTATTGGAAGGTAGCGTAGTGTAGTGTCATGGAGTGTAGTGGAGTGGAGTGTAGTGTAATGTAGTGTGGTGTAACGTAATTGAATGTGATTGAGTGTAACTGACTGTAGTGGAAACGTAGTAAAGGTGTAGTTGCAGTTGTTTTTGTAGTTGTAGTTGTAGTTAGTGTAGTGTAGTGGAGTGTAGTGTAATGTAGTGCAGTGGAGTGTAGTGTAATGGAATTATGTAGTGAAGTTGTAGTTAGTGTTGTTGGAGTGTAGTGTAGTGTAGTGTAGTGTAGTGTATTGGAGTGTAGTGTGGTGTAGTGGTGGTTGTAACTGAAAATGTTAAAACCCTCACTTTTGCACAATCGGCCACAACGGCTTGCACTTTTTCAACATCTCAACGTCCAAAAGCGGTCCGAGGCTGAGGTGTTTTGTGCATTTTGACTTGCTTCGCGCCCCAACGGCGTGGACTTTAAGCTTTTTCGACATCTCAACTTCCAAAAGCGGTCCGACACTGAGGTGCTTTGGAAATGTACAATTTTTCATCTCTCATCTGGCCAGCTGGCTCCGCACCCGACGCTTCAGCGAGCCTACTTTTTCGACCCTCTGGAGCCACAAATCATTGGAACAACACAGTGTTTCGCGAAGTTAAACCTTTTTGCGCATCTGCATCTTCTTTCTTCTGACTCTTCTCTTATCTTGTCTCTTCTACTCTCCTCTTCTCTCTGCCTCTGCCCAGCCCTGCTTTTCAACTGTCCATAATATTGTCGGAAGTTTGACTTCTAAACTACTTCCTTCGACTACCGTTTCAAGCTATAACAAACTACAAACCAGCCTGTGTTTCATCAGTCTTTTCCTTCAACCATCGCTGCCACTTTTGTTGTTTCTGCAGTTTTGCAGACTGATCAGTCTTTTTCTTCAAATCCCGATATTCTGTCCTCTCCTCCAAGTCCAAATTCTCAAAAAGACAATTCACCAAATGCGAACTTCCATCATCATTTCCTGATTGCTGCTTCTTCTTCTCGTCAGCATGCAAGACTGCTTGCACATAATGAGCATCACCGCCAGACAATGATTCGGCCAGGCTTTGAAGCAAGGACTTCCGACTAGGTTTTTGAGCAGTGGTGCAAAGTTGCAAATATTGAGCTAGGACCAGCAAACTGTTGTAAACCAGGGCCGAAGGTTTGCTCACCAAAGCGTACTTTGCCAAAGGCATGGGATCGTCAACCTGGACAATATGCAGCCCAAAATAAGTAGGCTCCCAGTTGGCCACCGATGGCAAAGCAGCAAAATCGTCTAAGTTGTAGACGTGCAGCCATGTGGCTTTACCAGCAGGGTCCAGTTCAAAGCGTGCAGTATCCAAGCGTTTCAGCGGCCACACCATTGTGGCCCACATGTGCTCTTTCAAAACGACCCACACCTCATCCTCAAAGTTGGCATCCTGATTCTGGATGAGCATTCCAGGCTGGCAAAGAAAATTCAACCTTCCGGCCTGCATCGGCTGCAACTGATGGGAACAAAAGGGAATGGTCATGGTTTTCGTGATTGGCGAAGCCAAAACAATTAAAACCAGCCAGGCCTGAATTTCGAAGCCATCTTGCTCCAGGCGTCGTTTGTGGTACTTGCGAGCCCATGACCATGCCGCAGCAGACCTCACCAAGTTGGATTCCGTCACAGATTGCCATGCGATCTTAGGATCCATCAACCTGCTAAATCTTTTTGGCAGCTTGTGACCCTTGGCTCTCATCATTTTCTTTTCGTTATAATTCCTCGCTTTGGTGGACCTGTATTGTTGTCGAAACACCTGCTTCGACAGAGCAGCGGGATGCTTCAGCTTTCTTTGCTCAATGATATTTGAAAATATCACTATGTTTTGCAGGCAACCCAGACTCAGTTTGTCGTTGGACCGAGAATTCTGCTTCGAGCGAATGCGTTGGTGCAAGTCCTCGATACATTTTGTATCAGGCAACTTCTGCACTAAAACTCTGAGAATTTCGACAGCTCCTTCTGCCTGTGGGCAGAGCCGAAAGTTGCAAACTTCAAAGGCATTCATGACGAGGCGAATCGGAGCACTGACAGACAAACGGAGGTCTGCAGCCAGGCTTGTAGCAAGGGGGGCTGAACTCACCTCCATTCCTTGAAGTAGTTTGAAATCCAGCTTCATTTTTTTCAAAGCAGCTATGCTCGCCTCATGATCTTCGGAGAGAAGTCCTGCATAGACCTGTGGGGGAAGTCCATGCTTGGAAAGGCTGCCACAACGTTGGCCAAGCAGTTCGATGCAATAAGACACAGCAGTAGCAGAAAGTCCTTGAGCATCCCGAGCCCAATACATGACAGAGTCAAGTTGAGATTTCCCCCCAGGAGCGCAAAGAGCTGCCATTTGTCTCAAGTGTTCTGATTCCTTCCAGTCATTTGACATATGAATTGAATATTTCACTGCGTCCTGCGCTGTTTTGACGTTCTGGTGGTACTCTGTGAACCATCCCCAACATGGCTTGCCAACGATTTGGAGCAACTTGCAGTGCTCCCAGTTTTGCTGCGAGAGTGAAAGGTAAGCCAGCGTCAAGCCAGAAACTTTTTTGGCTCTCAGCTCTTTGAAGCCACTGCTGTCATCTGGGTTCGGTGTTGCCTCACCCAAGTAATATTCTAATATCAACCTGGTGCCCCACCACTCGGTCATTGCCTCCTCCGCAGTTTCCAGCCATGCGCACCATCGTGATGGCTTGGGACATGTGCCCTTCAGGTGGAATGAAGGAAGTTGCTTCAAGGCTTGCCAAACTTGGCGCTGCTCCTCTGCTGTCCGGCATTGCAGCTGAAGATCATCGGCGATTCTCTCCAGGTAGCTTTGGCACCGCGGAGATTCCTCATTGACTTGTGACTCATGCTGTGTTTGAATAGATCACTTTGTTGGGAAACATGAAAAACCCACAATAGAAATTTGACAAACCCAAAACTCACAAAGACATAACAAGAGGCAACATACTCTCCATGGAAAAATGCCTCCATTGCAGCCTGTTTTTCGCTAAACCACTGGCCGCTGCCAAACGGCTTATAATTGAGCGACCAGATGTACCTGGGTTGTGGCAAAGTCTTTGGCTCGGCTTGGCTTTTCAGTGACCAGAGGAAAATCCCTTTGTGCAAAGCTGCTTACATATATATAAACCTTCCAAGCTGCTGGCTTGCTAACTGGGCTTGGGCCAGGCCACAATGTTCGGAAGCTAACTTCTGATCTCGGGCCAGCCGATGGAAGACGTCATAGTCCATGTGTATGAAGAAGAAGGAATCATTCAGAAATGAGGCCAGGGCCATGTCAGTACTGGCTTGGTCCACCAGCAAGCATAGCACTGGGACATCATAAGTGGCCTGGATGACGTCAATGTCATCAGACCCATTGATTGTGAGGTTGCCATCCACGGTAATCTGGCTTGCGCATTGCCTGGAGTCATCAAGGGCAATTTTTTTCAGGAACTGCAAAGTCATTGAGAACCAAGCCGACTTGAAGTTGAAGCTGCTGGCTGAGAGCCTGTGCTAACTTGTAGGTCGCCAAGCGTGATTGTTCCCTTCTCGCTAGCAAACGTTCCATTTCTTCAGTCTCAACAGCCACCTCATCTCCAGCGCTCACAATTTTGCCCGGCCATAGATGCTGCGAAATGCCATAGCAAGATATGTCATTCTGACAGGAATAGAAAATGCTGATCAAGGTATCACGGCAGCTATGCACTGACGCATCTGTGCAGACACTGATCCTGACAGGTTCCAAGGAGAGGAGCGACATTCTGCTTCTTTTATAGTACATGGCATTCAACTTCTGTTGCCAATACAGGCAGGATCCGGCTGAAGCACCATCGGCCGAAAGCATTGCCACTTTGTACATGGAGACATTCTGTGCCTGTGACTTTTCCACAACTTGCCAGACTTCATCTAGATGCATTCGCTGCACAATCTTCTCATCATTGTTGGCCCGGAACCTGGACTTGAGAGGGAATAAATGGGACTACACAAAGCCTGTGGCTTGTGGGGGCTACTTACAAAAACATGACGCGATGAATGTTGAATGTTGGGGTTCCAGGTTCCAGGTCCAGGCCTGCAAAATTTTCTCTTTGGCAAATTGCGACCCAAGAAAGGTGAACGGTCTTGATTGACAGTCATCTCAACGCCCTGAATGAGAAAGGCCATGAGGCCGGACTGCAGTTTTGACAGGCAATCAGCGCTCCTAGTCTTCCATGGCGGCTTCTGTTGCCTTCTGCGAACTCTTTCTACTGTCAGGGCAAAGCGCAGAACACTTTGTAAAGGCAGGCCCTGTGAAGACCATGGCATTTGAAGGTCTGAGTCTGTGAGCATCGAGTCCCACTGAGACCCCCACGCCTGTTCAACACTTAGGTGGGTGGTTCTAAGATTTCTCTGCAGGTTGCAAGCCAGGAAGGCATTGTTGACGAACAAGTTCTGCCAATTCTCAACTTGAATCTCAAAACCATCTGAAGCCACTCGGAAAGTCATAGCAAACCGACCCAATGCAAACCTCATGCGATTGACAAAGAACGCAGCCTTTTCTGCATCTGCGGTCTTGTTGCAAGAAGCCTTCATCCAGTGCAAGGCCAGTCTCGTGGAACACGCATTGCAATCCATTGCGTTGGGCCTGACCAATGTTCTGCAGCCTGAAACATAAAACAATCATTCAAATTTAACATGAGGATGTGGAAAATGCCTCCAACTAAGTATAATTTATAAACACGTAGGCAAAACCAAATCTTCGCCTCAAATGTTTGCCACGAAGATGCAAGTCATGAGGAAGTTGCATTTTGGACGCCACATCCTTGATCTCATTCAGAACCTGTTTGAATTCTAGTGCTTCATGTACAAGCTTCAGCTCATCGTGCAAATAGTTCAAGTCCCAGAAAAGAGTTGTGGAGTTCGCAGGTGCGTATGCCACTTGAGAAATCCAAGCATCTGTAGGTGGAAATACGAGGACTTCGGCGGCAACCGGCACAGCTGGCTCTGCTAGCACAAGGGCCATCCATTCAAAATATGATGAAGTGAGAAATGGATTCGTCAATTTGGTGAAGAGCGTTATCTTCTGATTGGAGGAGTGTGACTTCTGAGACAAATTTATTTGAAAATTTGATAGATGACTGCGATCAAATGGCCAAATGAGAGCAGCAAGCACTGACAGAACGAGTGAGTGCTTCACACATGACAAGCACTGACAGTTCAGTGTGGAGATTATTGAAGGACTTTTTAAATCCTGCTTTCACAGATTCACTCACCTAGTCAAAGACCCCATGGCTCAGCCCAGCTGTCGCAAATCGGAAGCGGCTCACACAATGAGCAGGCCGGTCGAACATGTGAGTGACATTGATAGCGACTTGACAAACAGACAAAGTTGAAACCTGAAGAAAAATCAGCAATGAATGAATATTTCAATTTTCATGAAAACATGAAGTCAAACGTCAAATGTCAAATCACTCACCTCCCCGTGACCCTCAAATCATCAGAGTCCGTGAGTCTACCTGGACCAGCTGGCAACCATCAAAATTAAATAGCATGGTTGGTTGATCTCCAACCACAAATCAAAATTCAGTCAGAACCACTACTGACATCTGAGCCAACCTCGCCATTGGCAGTCTCAGCAGCGGCACCAACACCAAAGCCTTCCTCTTCTTCGTTCTCTGAAGGTACCATCTCCCAGCCATCATTGCTGGCACTGGCATGTGCCTCACCACCATGAAGAGCTTGACGAGCAAACATTCCATTGATCCCAGCCGCGTGTTGGCGGATTGCGGCACTCCGATGGCAATTCGAAGGGCACCTGGCCATGTCCACAATCCCAGCAACCTGACGCCACTCGTCCACACATGCCTTGTGAAAGACATGCATGCATTGCAAAGCAGTCAGTGCACGGCTCTCCACGCTCCATGGGCTCAAGGCAAATGCCGCAGATGTGCGTCGCGGCCAAGTCAGCAGGTGGCTGGGGTGGACCTGACTTGGATGATGTCATTGGGGCAGGTGTCTCTGCAGCATGTGAGTCCATCTCTGCACGACGATGGCTTCTCACTGGCGTATGTGGCACGAATGCTGCAGCGGCAGGCAGCGGAGCCGCGACAGCAGCAGGCTGCGAAGCTTGACTCACAGGGGCAACAAGCTGCTGAGGCTGAGGCGGCGCTGCCTTGGGAGCTGCAAGATGATCAGAAGGCGGCTGCGGGGTTGAACCAGAAGCAGCAGCTTGCTCACCATTTCCTTCAACTTGCGGACCATTTCCAGCAGACTGCTGCTGCTGAGCACTACCAGTAGCCACACGAAGCATTGCCCCGACATCGCCGGAGGCAGCAGCCGCAGCATTGTCCAATGCCTGCTGACGACCTCGCTTCTTTTCGGCCTTCACCATCCACTGGTCCTGCCACCCATATTCTTGAGCAATGGTCACCACATGTGTGTCGTTCAAATTGAGTGGAAGCTTCTCCAGAAATCCTTTCTTGAAGACATCAGCTCCACCAAAGGCAGCACACACTCTGTTGTAACCACGCTTGGCCACATCAGGAAAGTGCTCATAGTATTTGCAATCTTAGCCAAGGCATCAGACACTTAAGTCACCAACTATTTTCAAAAGCTTGATTGAATGTAAAAAACATAAACTGAAGCAAGGTTGATGAGACAAAGCACGGAGTTGCGTCAAGGGCGTGGGAGGCTTCACACGAGAGCAAATGTAGACAATGGCCAGCAAGCCTGTCACCGAAAGATCAGCAGTCCAGCTGGAGTCCAGCTCCTCCATCAGCTCAAACACAGTCTGTTGCAAGTGTTTTCGGGGAATCTGCTTCACAAGGGAGTAGGACCGTGTGATTGGTGTCAGCCCATCGTCTGGAGCAGCTGCCGGAGCAGGCGCCGCCGCAGGTGCTGCAGGTGCTGCAGGTGCCGCTGCTGCTGCCAATGGGGCGTCTTCTGAAGACGACGACTCCTCAGGTTGTGGAAACATGTTGGGCATCATCATCGGAAACAAGGACGCCTGCTGCTGGCGCTGTCGCTTGCTGCTGCGTCGAGACGACTTCGGCATGGCTAGGCAAGGTCGGCTATGAAATATGACAAAATGGGAAATATGAAATTTGAATGCTGGTGCCAGAAATCAGAAATTATCCATGGCAAATGAGCGAACTGCAGCACGACATTTGAAGTCAAATTTTTGAAGGCAAAACGCGCCTACCAAAGAGAAAATTCTAAAGAGACAACCCCCACCCCAAACAAAAAAGCAAAAAAACGCAAAAAAAAACAAAAAAACGCAAAAAAAAACCAAAAAACGAAAAAAAAAAGAAAAAAAATAAAAAAAAAGAAGAAAAACGCAAAAAAAAAAGCAAAAAAATGCAAAAAAAAGCAAAAACACGCAAAAAAAAAGCAAAAAAAAGCAAAAAAGAGCAAAAGAAAAGCAAAGATACGTTTCCAAAAAGGACAAAAAAGCAAAAAAAAGCAAAAAAAGCAAAAAAGAGATAATTTTCAGCCAATTCTGATTGTCAATAGTACTTTTCAATTGCAGGAGCTTGGACAGCATATACAGAAAAAAAGCAAAAAAAAGCAAAAAAAAGCAAAAAAAAGCAAAAAAGAGATAATTTTTCCAGGAAAAATTTCACAAATTGGAAACTCCCACGATTGGAGACTGGTGAGCAGGTCTGTCAACTGAAGCACCGACGAACCTGAAAATGTTGGCATACAAGCAGTTGACGAGTCAGTCTAATGGCATTTTGTCCCCAAGCGGCTAATCTGGCAAAAGTTGGTTCAGATGCCAACGCTAACTCCGCAAACCCCATTCCATCGCCAAGGTTTCGGCTTTGGGTCAAAAATCACACGACCGCTGTTCAACTTGCGCAATTTGATCTCCTCCTGCGCCTTCTCACAATCGTTCGGATCTGGATGGCGATCACCTCAAGCAGCCAACAAATCCAATCTGATACGTGTTTCCAGTCGGCTGAAAAAGGCACAGGGGGGCATTTTCAAATTGAATATTACAAACAAGTAAAGACCTGCAATGTCTAGTGACACTGGCAGTTCACAACTCCCGCCTCATCATCGGATTTGGAGCAAGCCCGCTGCTTCGCAAACATGGCTTTGAGGCACGGCATGAATGGTTGTGTGCCAATGTGATATCCTGAGCCATTAATACCTGACAAATGAGCAATGAGAGAGTGTGACAATGCAAATAATAGGATGAAGGCCCTATCGCTGATGTCAAGGGCACATGATTGGTGCTCTGCAACGGATTGAAGAAACATACGTTCACCGGAATTTCCTTGGCTCGAGGCAGCATCATTGCCTGAATCACCTGCACACACCCAAGCCTGGTCACCCGTTCTCAGCATTCATTTGACAAAAGACATGTGACATCTAAATTTGACACAGATATTATCACTGAAGGACACATGTGACATCTGAATGTGACACATGTGACACATGTGACATCTGAAATCTGAAGGAAGTTTAGAAGTCTAACTTCTGACAAGATGGACAGTTGAAAAGCATGATCTGGATCAAAACAAGCACAGGCCTTGGAGATTTTCTGGCTGGCAGATCCCTAGACTCAAGAACGGCAGCTCTGTCTGTCTGGGGTTCTTACGTTACATGGAAATATTTTCCATGTCAAAATTCCGCGGAGGCCCAGCCTCCAAGAAGCTTTCCAAGAAGCTTTCCAAAAGGGGAGGAGGTAATGGAGTAAATACAGCAGACAGTTATGTAGGTTTAACTTAAACAACAACTTCAATATTTATTACTAATTAATACTACAACAGCTAGTCTATTTTCAATATTCCATGTACTCCATTACCTCCTCCCCTGTCAGCTGCTCTACTATGAACGCCAAGTGTTTTCTTTGAACTCTGATCCATCTCTGCTGGAAACGAATCACTACTATGCGGCTCAAACCTGCAACGGATTCGTTTGTTGATTCCCCAAAGGTGCGGCAGTCAGAGCCAGAAGGAGGTTCAGCTTCAGATTCATATCTGACATATGTCTGACTCTGACAAATCTGACAGTATCTGACAGTGAATGAGCTCTTTGAAACATCGAACATTCAATTACATTACACTACACTACATTACACTACACTCCAAGTCCAATACACTACACTACATTACACTACACTACGCTACCTTCCACTACACTAAAACTACAACTACACAACTGCACTTCACTACACTACACCCCACTACACGCAGTTACACTACACTACGTTACACTACACTACACTACACTGCACTACACTACATTCCACTACAGTCCACTACAGTCCACTACGCTACACTACATTACTTTACACTACACTACATTCCACTACGCTAAACTACGCTATGTTAAATACCACTACACTACACTACACTACGCAACTACAACAACAAAAGCAACTACAACTACAATATGACATTTACACTACGCTACACTACACTACACTAATTACACTACACTACACTAGACTCCACTACAAACACTACACTACACTGAATGACGCTGGGCCACAGATAGACAGTTAGACAGATAGATAGATAGATAGATAGACAGATAGACAGATAGACAGATAGACAGATAGATAGATAGATGGGTAATTAGATGAAAGAGAGAGAGAGAGAGATAAACGGAGAGAGAGAGAGATAGATAGATAGATAGGTAGGTAGGTAGATAGATAGATAGATAGATAGATAGATAGATGGATAGATAGATAGATAGATAGACAGATAGTTAGGTAATTAGATGAAAGAGAGAGAGAGAGAGAGAGAGAGACAGAGAGATAGATAGATACATAGGTAGACAGATAGATAGATAGGTGGGAAGGTAGCTAGTCAGAGAAAGAGAGAGAAAGAGTGAGAGAAATCAATCACGTTTCAGTCCATCAGTGGCTTCGCTCTGCCATCCCTGATTCACAACAACCAATCTCTCCTAGAGGTTTCCAATTTTTGAAACTTCCACCACCGCCTTGTGCAGTACTAATACTGGAATAACTGACATGCTATCTATTATCACCTGTCTGATTTGAAATTTGTTTTCGATGAATGGCTGAACTGAATCAGGCTTAGTTAGCTGAATTGACTGACAGAACTCAAACCTGAAAGATCTCGTCATTGCCACCTTCCAGGCCGATTCACCGCTCTTCCACCTGCACAGGACAGGATAGAGAAAACTGAAATGGAACTGGTAACCCACATATATTAATTTCACAGTTTCAGATGTCAAGTATCAGATTTCAGATGCGAAGATCCTGTCATGTCAACTTGGACAACTTGATGAACTGCCTCAAACTAACAAAAGAAGCAACGCTTGGATGACATGGGCCGCATTTTCACTGGCGGCAAGCCGTCCAGGCTGGAAGTTCGGAAGATTGAAGTCATGCAGGCTGCCCTCGAATTTTGCGAAGCCATCCAACAACTCAGTCTGTGCCGCCTGCGCTGTGGACGGCGAAATTGAGCAAAGAGAGGTTTTGCCATCAGACTTGCCGTTGCCTTAATTACAATCACTCATGCTTACTTACACTGCCACAGTGCCATGTATGATTTACTTCCCAGCCTCAGAACGCTAGATCATGTTCTGGACCAAGTGAGCTGGGATGTTGCTTGTTCATAGTCACCTCAGCAGTGCCAAATCAAAGAGAAAAAAGGTCAGGGAAAGCGAACATGGAACCAGTCCATGGAATTGGGAATGAAACTTGCATGCCAAACCAATCAGTTAAAAAGCCCAGTGAAGTTTGACACATTACTGGTATATGCAAATCTTAAATGCAACCAAGCTACTGATCGCCCGCCCCAGCCACCCATCCAATCCCGTCGGCTTCTTCTTCTTGAGGAGGTGAAGCCTGCAGTGAAGTGTGAGTCTGAGTGATTTGGGATCACACCAAGACGACTACAAAACTTGATTGAATGGAATGATGGTTTGTTGAAATCTCGAAGTCAAGACCCCCTGGCAAGCAGTGCATTGCTGCCAAGCTTCAGGACCTTGCGCCGGACACCTACTGGCATGGCGGAGAAGTTCGTCGCCACTGTGCTGCTGATACGGAAATCTTCCAGGATTTCCTTCCTTGAAGCATCAGCACTCGAACAAAATGAATGCTTGCTTAACTTACAAATGATAAACATGAAAGTGAAGAATGAAGTGCACAACCAAATCAAATTTTCAGCCAAAGGAGCTCCACCGCATGCAGCTGACCCTCCACACTTGGCAATCCAGGTGGTGCCACCACAGGAGGTTCCACAGAAGCTAACACAGCTGCAGCTGCCGACGACTTGACCTTCCATTCGCCCCCACCCCCACCACTGCCCTTCAGTCTCTTGGGCTGGTTGTGGGGAGGGCTGCGCGGCTGCAGGACAGCAGCAACACTCCCCCTGACTTTTGAAGCTGGCTTCGGGGGGGCGGTGGCGTCTTTGGCTTTGCCTCACTGACAGTGTTGCTGGCATTCAGTTGTCGACTCATTGTCGTCCCCATCCTTTGATAGGGTGTGGATATTGTGTTAACTGTTGAACTTAGCAGCCCGCCTTTGTCTCAGGCTTCTTCTCCATCACATCTTTAAAGAGCCTGATCAAAGCAAATTCCACTGAGTGGCTGGGTTGGCAGCTGGTTGTTTCATTGCAGAACTCATTGCGTTCATCATTCCAGAAATTAAGATTCAAGCTGGATGCTGACTTGACACACAAAAAAGCACTATGTTAATGTTTGCCAAGCAACTTGAACATGCCAAGTTGATTCGGGCAATGCATCTCGCAGAAGGTTGAGAATGCGCATCTGCACATCTCAACCATGCCGCACATTTGGGGGATTTCCCCTGGCAGGAGTGCATGCTGGAGCTCGTTCCTTGCACAAGAGCCACAGGTGGCAGCTTGCACCATGATGAAACTGAATCGCATGAAACTTCTGAATGCTGAGTAAATTTGAAGTTTGAAACGTTGACATCAATGGAGATGTTGAAAACTGACATCTGAGAATCAATGAAGCAATGGAGATGTTGAAAACTGACATCTGAGAATCAATGAAGCAATGGAGATGTTGAAAACTGACATCTGAGAGTATCGAATCAATGAAGCAGAGAATCGCAGAACATAGGCTGCGACCCTCGATCCATCTCATCAACTTCAAGGCAAGCCCTTGCCAGTTCTTTCTCATGGCGCACCAGACCACCTCTATGCGATGGACCTCATCATGAGTTGACAGATGGCGTTGAGAAACAAGGCAAATCCTGCTTTCTGAATTTCTGTCATTGTGTGCAATATCATCAACCATGAACCATGAAACTCTTATTGCAGGCAAGACACCCGAAGCACCACATAGATGACGATCACCACTGCAGGTGCTCGGTTGATCCCACGCGGGCTGGACAGCCTGGGCTGGATGGAAACTGAAAGTTCTGACAGCTAGCCACTTGAAGACTTTGTCATTTTTCAAAGTCAAATTTCAATGAATTGAATTGTCAAATTTCAGCTGGACACTTGAAACAAACAAACCAGCAACACCTGAATAGGTCGACATCGCTGAGGCACTTTACAAGCCAGTCAGGCCTACATAGAACTGCCCTCACAGCATCTCTCACCGCTGGATGGCTGTAGGCCAGCTTGAAGTTCTGTTCCATGAAGGAATCAACCTTTGGATCGAAGCTGATCCCTGGCCTCAACATTGCTCCAGCTGTCAGATACTTCAGAGATGGGATTTTCAATCCTCTCAAATTTTGGCCTTAAATTAAAATCCAACTGGCATCCATGTGGGGCGCTCCATATTATAATGTTTCCGGTTTGACTTTGAAACATCCTGGTCATCTCAGCCGAACAGCATTAGTGCAGCCAAGGCACGCCAACGGAATCAACTTGTCCAACCGATGTTGCCAATGGCGAGGTTCTATGTCAGCAAAGCTTTCCAGCTTCAGATTCCGGCCAGGAATCTCAAACTGCCAGGCAGCGACAGGCAATGCAACAACTGTCAATGCTGAGGCTTTGAAACAGGTGTTGCGTCATAAGATCAAAAACGAAAGCATTGAATCGAAGTGAATTCTCATGGTCAACCCAAAGAGAAAAAGGCAATGCATAACTTATTCAATAAGTTAGTTGCCAAGCTACGGGAGGTGGTATCAGAGCCTCTTTGCTGGAGGGAAATGCCAAAAGCACCACTTTGGCCGGCCAGTTGCGGTATTCTTGACCCATGAACACAACGGTCTTAGTCGGACAAGGTGTTGAAATGCTTAACTTAGTCAAAAGCTTGACTTCTGACTGACTCATCTCATCGACACCCAATACTTTGAAATCTATCCTCATGCCTGTCACTATCTACACAATAATGTTCAAAAGTCAAGCCAAGATGCAGTTCCATCATCGTCAGATGACAACACCGCAACATCTTCCGCGACATCCTGCTCCTTGACTTGGCCTGGTGCCCCTTCAATGCCCGGAGCTGGGCTCTCCACTCGATTTCGCTTTGGCTGCCAGATTGGAGCCGGGGTCAACTTCTCGCATTCGGGCTGCGGCTTTCTCTGCCCTCAGGTCAGTCTGTAGCTACAGCATCCAGCATCATGAGACTCTGACTGACCTTTTTGGACATGGTGATTTCTCAAGAAAACTGACTGATGTGCAAAACTTCAACTCAGACAATCGGTCAGTAAGCCAAGATGCCACTCGAGTCCACGTTCGGTGGAGCTGACGCGGTACCGTACATAGTCATCGACAGGGTCACCGTTAAGCTCCTTGGCTTCCAGATGGTTCCTTAGATTTGACAGGGCTACACAACACGACATCAATGTCCCTGAAACTGAGATGTATTGAAGACAATGAGTGTCAACCACGTTTGAATCACTTGTCAAAAAAACAAGTGGCACCAGATTGGTGGCTTGCTCGGGGTCCGCGGAGTGCAGCAGCCACAGCAACTGGGGATGCGAAGGACAAACTGGCTGCAAAGTGAATATGAGACTCTCAGTGGCTACCAGAAACAACCTGAAATTCTTGGACTATCAAAAGGCAATATATGTTCAGCCAAGGCACTTGTTGGGCTTTCCTTGGCTGATGCAGTCAAACAGACAGCACTACATTGCTGATAATAGATTTAATCACAGAAAACATCAACATCATTATCAAATGACACTTGGGACAATGAATCAATGCCAAAAAAAGCACATAATTTAAGGGCCATGTTTCCGGGGCAGATTTCGGACAAAAACAGGCAGCTCCTCACAGGCTACCGAATTCGAATTGCCGATGCCGCCGCTCATGGACAGACAAACGGACGCGGCGCTAATGTCACCGGGTGTCACCTAAGACCTATCGTTCAATGAGTGAATTCCTGGCCAAATGCTATATAGTGTCACATGATATGTGAAATGAACACATTTTGACATGCTGCGCCTGAAATTTGACATTTGAAATTTCACTGCGGACAGAGGTGCAGTGTAAGTCTAAGTTGAATCTCAAACAACTTGGCAAAACCACAATGGCACTCATGTCAACTCACATCTCGCGAGCTCTGCAAAGCCCAGCCAAGCCTCACTGTGAATATGGCCAGGATGTCTCCGCAAAAGGAGCCTGCAGGGCATCACTCACCCATCGAGCGCAAAAACAAATAAATAGCCAAAGGATGAGGTTCAGTTCACAAAGCAATTGGTAATTATGCACAACTTAGTGAATCAAACTTGCCATGGCAAACTTGTCACCCTTTAACTGCCCCACCTGCCTCATGCGACAAAAGTGAAAGTTGAAAGGGCGTGGACCGTTGCCTGATCGAGGAGACACAGATCGATCATATCGCCCAGCTGGAAATTTGAAACAACGAAAATGCATGTCAAATTCCACATGTGAAACAGTGACAGATGACATCTGGCAAAGCTGGAAGACATGATGAGCAGACCTGTCATCATGTCTTCTTAATGTCAACCTGGCAGGCAAATCAGTCAGTAATAACAGATTGAACGCAAGTCACATCTGAAATTTGACGAATGAAGTTTGACAGTGCAAGACAAAAAGCCATCTGCAATGGAAAAACACAGACAGAAAATTATGACAGCACTGTGATTTCTCCTCCGGGATCCCAAAATTTGTGACAGTCAGCCACGCAGCACAATCAGTCAGCATCTATGGTCAGTCACTGGCTAGATGGTGGCTGTTCCACTTCCGACTGACGGGCTCTCAATTCATCAGACAGACTAAGAAGATGAGCACAGAACAGGCCACCGCATCTGAACATCAGCTTCCCTCAGAAGAGAACCAAACCCATTGAAACTCAAAGATGGCAAAATAAAAAATGACAAACTGAAAGCTGCAACGCATGTCTAACCCCAGTTTTTTGAATTTCAGTTCATGATGTTGCGCAGCGCGATTGCAAACTCATTGGACTGAATGTGACCTGGCAATCTTGGTAACTGGGGAAAGGGCCAGATGGCTCATCCAAGAACCACATATCCGGCTCGTTGGCATACATACTGGGGGTCACAACCCAGTACTCCCCCTCCACCTGGGCCACACAGTGCCAGAGGTTTGCCTGCAGCAAAACGCATGCTGTGGAGAAGGAACATGTCACATGACTGGAAAAAACAGGTTAAATTTTCACAGCTGACCTACATGTCAAGAGCCAAGAGTCAAGGTTTCAATGTTTTGTCCCTAAAAAGCATACAAACGTTTCCTTACTCATCTATGTTTCCACCATCTCTACACATGTTTGCTGCACAAATTCTTGTCTTTGGAGCCAACCTAAGCCGGACCTAGCCTCATTGGTGTCATCATTCAAGATCCGCAAGACTTCTGCTGCATGACTTTGACCCTTCAGCTCAGGGCGAGCGTCCAAGAGTTTGCGAACCCTGTCACGTGAAAAGGCTAGCAAATCTTCATATGCCAGCCTGGGCGGGCCACCAGTGATTTAGATTCAAATTTAGATGCTTGATTTCGATGAGTTTGACAACACACTCAATGCAAAACTGAAGCCGTTGTCAAAATGTAAAGTGGGCGCTGGCAATGATTACTACGGCAAGAAATGGCAAGAGACGTGAGTGATGGGTGTGAGCGCATATGTTCGGGCTTGATCTTCCTCCCTCCATCCATCCTAACAGTTTAACCCTCAAGCACGAGTAGGCACATGCTGACTGACAAGTCACGCTACAACTCGTCACTCAAATCATTGACATCTGAGAATCTGAAATCTGGTGACTGTGTTTGTGTGAAGTGACGCTTGAATTATTCCATCAACCTGATTGCAGAACAAGATTCGTCTCAAAGTGTGGAAAAGCAGCAATGGTTTCCTGCAACCAAGCCCAAGTAATCTACATCCATTCCATGTGGACACAGTTTCCATGTGACTCATTTGCTAACTGCTTGTGAAAGAAAAGTAAGACCCAGGCCTCTGTAATCACTGTGTGTTGACCGCCAAGCTCCAAAGACACAAATCGCAAAGCATCATCAAGAGCCATTGGAATGAAAGATGAAATCTGACACTATGAAATTTGAAAATCTCGAATGTCAATTGAGCCGACATCATGTCACAATGTCACAGTCGCTGTCTGAAGGGCAGGAAAGAAGTTAGAGACCTGTGTAAAATGAGTTTCTGAACGTTTGTCCTTTGTCTAAAAACAGCAGCTCCGACCAGTCAAATGTCAAAATCTCAGTCTCACGTATGACGTTTAAAACAATTCTTACCAAATATTAACCGGATGAAATCGAATCATTTTGAAAACATAAATGACATAGTCGTTCATGCTGAAACTATTTCGATGAGTCAGTGGCAAGGCAAGGCAAACCTCAATCCACAGGGTGGCACTAACACGCGCGACTGTGTCAATGAGTCAATGAGAAATTGTTGTTGAAATCTGAAACATGAGAGAATTAAATGACTTAAAGTCAGGAAGTTCCAAAGCCACTACATGGACGGACATGCACAATGCCTCATTTTCTCATCGTGCGGACGTCGCATTCAAGAAACCCTACGTGCCATCTGAAAAGTGAGGTGGCATCGTCTCAAAATGCACTGCAGCTCCACAAAACGGCTACACACCACTGTCTGGACCATCCAAGAACGTGTCAAAACTTTGGGTGTCCTGGCTTTCATCTTTCTGTGTATCGTTTCCTCCCATGTCGTTCTTGTAATCTTCAAGCCCTTCAAACATGGTGTCACATTGTCGAATCATAGTGAAAGGTCTAGACGAAGGATCTCCATCTTCAGCAGATCTCTTGCCTGGGCTCAGCTTGCCTTGAATTGCGACATCTCTCCCGGGGCCAGTGATCGACATTTTGAAGGTCCAAGCGTTCTCATTATAGGCCTGGACTGGAGTCTGACAATTGTCTGAAGAAAACGGCTCAATTGATATTATGGAACAACTTAACTTGAACTGAAAACAGGTTGGCAAGAAAAACCACATGATGACATGTTTGAAATTTGAGTCTCAGACCTACCTCGGACAGAGGTTTGCCATTTTCCTCAACGACAACATTGTAGCGACCAGGCTTCCACTGAATGCACTGCAAGACATCCTTTGTCTCAACCTTCGTCCAAGTTGAATTTTGACAAGCTGAGGAATCGGAAGACATGGCTGAAAAAGCAACCACACTTACAATGAAGGCACGAATCTTTGAGCAGTAAGAATGTCGGTTCAGGTGCACAAACTAACTAACTTGAAAAACGGCATCGAATCGCACACATCATCATGAGAAATGTGACGACAACAAATCTGACTGTTGAACAACCTAGAATATCAAACCAAGCAGGTCCGCTCGGTGACAGTGACATGCTGCCAGGCAGGCCTCGGATACTGCAATTACATGAAACAAAAAACTCAGGACACGAGATTGCTCAGCCACATCTCTCACAAGTTTTTTTGCACGCCCTACCCCCCCTCCTTAGTAAGGTTCCTACTACCATCTCACCGAAGACCACTGCAGCCGATGCCACCTGAATCCATGCCATCCATTGAGAAAAAAACGACGTTGCATGATCACAAAATGAGTCTGACTGAGTCCACACTTTCGGTCTTAGTGCGATAAATCACATCAAGCATGCTGAGTCTCTGTCTGAGGTCAGAACTGATGATTTCAGCAAACGTTGGCCATGTGTGACATTTGAAATTTGACATGTGAAATTTGACCATGAGCAGGAAGAATAAACACAAGCATCAATCAACATGAGTAGCTGGAACACTACGAAGGTGAACTGAAGGCAACGGCCAGACAAGTGCGAAGCTCCAGTGCAACAACAACAACAACAGCAACAACAACAACAACAACAACAACAACCGATACCACGCAAAACCAAGCACAACAAAAGTGGACAGTGTCGAATTCTCACGATTCTCAGCGATATTCAGCCAAGCATTGAGCATGACTGATCTTTCGTGTTGGGTGCGGGTGCTCCTCATGACATTAGCAAGGAAAAAGTTACAACTCAAATAACAAAAGCCAGAAAAAGGCAGAAAAAGACAGAAAAAGACAGAAAGAGACAGAAAAAGACAGAAAAAGACAAAAAGAGACAAAAAGAGATTAGCAAAAAACCCTACTGATACAAAACCCTGCTGAACCAACCCCTGTTTTACTGTTACCGAAAAGTGCGTCAAAATCGTCTTTTTTTCGCTCTGGCGTCGAGATCCGGTTTTGGAGCTACAATTTCCGACGCCATTGCGCGTAGTTCTCTTGTGTTTTGCAACTCAGTCTCCGCAGATCGCATTGGAATGGCTGCGTCAAGGTTGCTTCTTGCTTTGGCTGCATGCGTAATGTCTTTTGCAGCTCGACTTCATAAATCGTCTTGGACTGGCTGCATGAAGGCTGCGAAATAAATTTGTTAGCAGATTTTCTCCATTTTGGCACTAGTGTTTTTTTGTTGCACGTAGGTTTAGAGCAGTGGGAAGTGTGGGGCGTAAAGAGTGCAGTGTGAAGTGTGAATGAAGGAAGCAGTGGGAAGTGAAAAGTGTGAAGTGTGAAGTGTGGAGTGTGAAGTTTCAGTTTGGAGTGCGAAGAGCGCAGTGTGAAGTGTGAAGTGTGAGGTTTGGAGTGTGAAGGAAGCAGTGAGAAGTGTGAAGTGAAGTGTGTGAAGTGTGGAGTGTGAAGTGTGGAGTGTGAAGTTTCAGTTTGGAGTGCGAAGAGCGCAGTGTGAAGTGTGAAGTGTGAAGTGTGAGGTTTGGAGTGTGAAGGAAGCAGTGAGAAGTGAGAAGTGTGAAGTGTGAAGTGTGGAGTGTGAAGTTTGAAGTTTGGAGTGCGAAGAGTGCAGTGTGAAGTGTGGAGTGTGGAGTGTGAAGACTTTGCTTCGTCGCTCGCTGAAAAAATCAAACGGTTGTCGAGGGAAGGACACGGTCGGGACAGGGTGTCTTTGAACTATAGGTCATTTATGTTTGGGAAACTTCCGCCGCCGGCTAGCCCGGGTCTATGTTATACAAGCATGCAGAGGTGTGTCAGGTGTTGCACAAAACTACACAACCCAAACTGGATTCCGGGCTGTATCTTCGAAAAAACATTTCGTTCCGTCCATCCAGCTTTAGTTTTATTCAACAAAGGTCTTTGAAACAAAAACGAAAGAAAACAGAAACAACAAAGAACGGATTCGCCGTTTTCAATCAAGGGTGCAACACATCTGATGATTCTTATGCCCATCAACAATCATGCAAAACACATTTGAACTCGTCAAACAAATCTGCCCACGTCTTCTTGTTTCCCCTTGGTTTCCTGACCTTGTGATCCATGGTGCTACACCAACTGGGATCGGCTTGCAACTTCTCTGGGAGTCACGTAGATTCACGTAGTGTCTGCCAAATCCTACCAGGTGCACCGCATCATGATCTTTGGGAATTGAGATGAATTGGGTATATGGAGTATTGGAAGTGTGCCATGCCGGTTTGCTCTCGCGGTGCCCTACAGCAACTTACGGTATTGGCACAAAACAGGGAAAACCATGGGAAAAACATTTGGTGTTTCCCCCAAATTTTCCCCCACCTTGTACAGTTTTTTTCCAGATGTTTAAGGTTTCCCATGTTTTTCACCACCTTTTCCCCAGCTTTTCACCCTTTCTTTCATCGATGTTCTCCCACTTTTCCCCATGAAATTCACCATTTCAGGCGAGGCGAAGCCGGGGTGAAACTTCCCCAGCTCAGAGATGGTTTCATGGCTGCGTTTCAGGCTACACGACAAGATCTCGTGAATGCTGCGTGCTCCGAAAGGATCCGAAAGGCCCGAAATCTGTGATGTGGCACATTCTGAATCATTGGACATGATTGGTCACCTGAGGTGTGAATGGATTCGATTCAGGTTGTTTGATATGAATCGACATTCTGAATCGATATGACATCATTGGAACATATATAATATATAATTCGAAAGGGCCAAAAAAAAATGAAAAATGCAAAAGAAAAAACACCACAACCACCAGAATTACAGATGCAAAATACCTGGGAAAAAAGGAAATAAATACCAGGTGTCTTTCCCAAAATTCATGAAACATCACAGCAAAAAAAACAGACAATTTTTCCTTTAAAATCATCAGAAATTCTGATTTTGATGCACATGTTTCTAAACCGCGCGTCGCGCCTCCCCCTTTTGACATTTGATGTGATGATAATGTTAACGTTTCCGCAATTGAATTTCATCATTGTCATCATGTGTTCATTGGTTTTTATTTGGAGTATTACCTAGCTTCTTTCTTTATTTCCAACAAAGATGGACACGGGATGCGGATGGGTGCAGCACGTTTCCCAGCAATTTTAAACTCTCACCAATGCACCGCGTTTTTGCCCATAGCCATGTCTGAATATATTTGTTCTGCACAAATAATCCCGAAACAATGGTGAATCATGGAATAAATAAGTGTTCTTTTCCTCTATAATATATTAATAATGCCAATGTTCCTTTCGATATCGAGAAATAATGCCTTATTCCGAAATCCTTAGAACAATTATATAAGCCTGAACTATGCTTATTTCAACTTATTTGTGGGGAACTTATATAAGGCTTGAAACCTCAGTCACAGGAATGAAGAAATAGGGTGCTTTTACTGTTTCTAGAAATAAGGCCCTCATACAGAAAGTCACAAAGTTTCATGGTTGTTTCACGATGGTCTGGGTTTCGCGCCCAAAGAAACAGCAGCAGTACAGAAGCACATTGGATTTTCTGCAACAAATCCTTTCTCTTCGTTAACAATGGGACGCGTCCTAAAGTCATCTGCAAAAGATGCTTTTATTTGCAGAACCGCCCAGGCCTTCACGTTGTTAATTGACTGCTGAGGTTCTGCCAAAAGTGGCGAATCCTTTCGAGTAGCCTTGTGATGATGGTGAGCAGTGACGAGAGATTGAACACGTGCTTGCAGTGTCAGCAAAGACATCTCTAAGGCTCCAAGGTTATTGATTTGCCACAACGTTTGCCTTCATGAAGATCAAAAAGACAGAACTCCATGGACAGCATCAAGCAAAGTGTCTTTAGATAGATGTTGATGTATCTGTATACGTATGTGGTAATGAATGAATATGAATCATTATAATAATCGTCAAGAATAAGCTGCTGTCCGGCAAATCTGCACATCTTGGATACCCCGCGAACGTATCAAAGGCCATCATTGTGCGCACATGGTGTGCAACGGGAATTCCCGAAACTGTAGTAGTGAAATGTTCAATCGAGGAATGCTGGAGTGGATGCTATGTTCAATCCTTGGAGGTCCCCTCTTTCACCGACCCAATCCAAATTGCTTCTTGAAAGTAGTGAACAACGACAAATTTCCAACTTCCAACACACTCAGAAAGATCCATAGTTTCTCACCAAAAATGAAAAGTTGATGGTCAGTACAAGTGGTCATATTCAACATCCATGGGTGATAATTTGATGCGCGCTTCACTCCATGATGTCCCTTTGAATTCTTTGAACCTGAAACCAGTGACATCGATTACGCATTGCACATATCCATCATATCATATCCTCTAAGTCGCAAAATCATCCCACATGAATCTTAACCGCAGCTAATACACCCGCAAACAAGACCTGATATCTTGCCGATCATGGAGTCGTGGGAGCTGTATTATTACATGAGGAATATATTCACCTATCCATACTTGGGGGAGCTTCTACTTCTTGCACTGGAAAAAAATTACCAAAGTTGCCACTGAGATGATCCATGAAGCTAAGATCATCTAAGATCTATGGTTTGGGCCTAGAGGTCATGTCACGATCTTTTGCCCACGATGTCATCCCATTGAAAGATAGCCATGATGTGGAATTAACCAATTAAGCATAACAAATCGACCACGGACGGAAATGAGAGGTGTGAGGCTATAAAACTAATGGCTGCACAGCAGAGATTCCAGCCACTTGCTAAGCTCAGTCCTGATTCCAAATTGAAATTGAGAGAAACCCCATGCAACCACAGCTGGGAATATGGTTTTAGCACTAAATTAAACCATCTTAAGCCGTCCAACTTTGGGGAGACCCAATTTTGATCCCTACCCTGTGGACAAAAAAGGCGTCCGGCCGCACATCTTTGATCATATCACAGGATGCACTCCAAAGGCACCTTTGGCCCGAAATTGAAATATGTTCACATCACAATAGCGAACCTGCAAAAATGGGAGGCAAAGCAGGTGACTGGAGATGTGCTCCCAGAAATTCAAGGACCGGATAACCCCACATGTCAACGTCTTCCAATAAGCAGCAAAAGAAAGGTAAAGATGGGATGGGAAATGCAGGAAAGAGAAAAGAGATGGTGAAGGATCGGCGTGTGCAACACATGTATGTCGAAGGGAGGTGCGTGAAAGGAGTGTATGCAATAGTGCGCAAAAGTGGTGTGTATGTGTGTGTGTGAAACAATCGTGCGTGAAAGTGCGTGTGTGTGTGTGTGTGTGTTTGTGTGTGTGTGTGCATGTGTGTGTGTGTGTGGTGTGTGGCCACCTAAATGCATGTGCTATGTGTGCATGTGTATGTGTGCGT